TTGGAAGCAGCCTACATGTCCATCAGTAGATGAACCCGTAAATAAAATGTAATTTATATACACTGGAGTGCTACTCTGGTGTAAAGAAGGATATATCTGAGTCATTCGTAGGGAAATGGATGCGGCTGGAGACTATTACGTTAAATTAAATAAATTAAGCAAAGATATCATATAGACTCTTACAGGAGACATCGAAAGTATAAATAATTTAAAGGGCAAAATAAAAGACAGCAATAGGAAGCGGGGACGCAGACCTTTTGCAAACGGGAAGGGGATCCAGAGATGGAGGGTGGAGGGAAGGCAGGAGAAGGGAGATAGAGAATTAAGATACACTACGCACACGTTCCCAGACCCCACGATGAACCGCAATCATTAGGAACCACATAAAAAAAAAGATCTTTAAAAAAATGTTTTTAAAGGAACTGCAAACATGTACAAAAACTGATGTGACAAGTTGCCACATATATAAAAATGCTCAAAATCACCAGGTGCTGAATGAAAAAACGGTGAGATCTGGACAGACTGCCGGGCGTGGTGGCGCATGCCTATAATCCCAGCACTCGGGAGGCTGAGGCAGGAGGATCATTGGGAATTCAAGACTAGCCTGAGCTACAAAGTGAGCTCAAGGCAGCCTGAACTACACAGCGAGATCCCTCCCTCAAAAAAAAAAAAAAAAAAAAAAAAAAAAAAAAAAAAAAAAAAAAAAAAGAGAAGGGGCCTCCCCTGGCAAGTGCAAGGGCTTGAGTTCAAGCCCCGGTTCCCGAAAAAAAAAAAAAAAAAAAAAAAAAAAAAGAAAAAAAAAAAGAGAAGGGGCCTCCCCTGGCAAGTGCAAGGGCTTGAGTTCAAGCCCCGGTTCCGCGAAAAAAAAAAAACAAAGAACATGCCAAAACCCCAAACAACACAAAATGAAACCCAAATGCATACTGTATGATTCTTTTACATAAGTCTAGAAATACACACCAATTAGGCTGGGAAACACATCGGTGGCCGCTAGAGGGTGGGGGTGGTAAAGGAGGGATGGTAAGTTTACTGGAATCACACGGACATATACATATTAAGGCACATCAAATACATACAGATAATGCTGTATCAATTCTACCTTAATATGGCTATTAAAAATTGATGCTTTAACTATATGTGAAAAATTTTTAGATAAACAGATGGCACCAAGCTTTTCAGCTGGAAGGCTAAGATTCTTCCTCTACTCGCCCGCACGGGCCCAGTGAGCCCTGGTGGGGGCAGATCCCGGCCCAGAACACCACGAGGCTGACCTGCTCACCCAGGCCGCCCAGGCCGCGGGACACAGCTCCTCCTGCCTCTCTGCATTCTGGTGGCTTCGCTCTGTTCCCTCGCGCCCGTGCTCTCACCTCTTCTGCCTCATTCTCAGACTGCCCAAACTTCTGCCGGAGACTCTCTTCGAACTTCTCATCCGTCCAGTAGAAGAGGATTTCCGCGCCCTCGGTGGCCACCAAGACGCATTTCATCTGCCAGAGAAGAAACGTCCATCAGGGCCAGCCCAGCTCCCACCGCTGCGAGCCTGCCTGAGTAATGAAGAGGATCCTAACTGGAGCAAACGCTCACTGAGCCCTTCCTGCACTCAGGTCGTACCCTAAGGGGAAGCGAGGCTCTTCAGTCACTCCTGTCACAGGGCACAGGCACAGGCCTGTCTGATGCTAAGCCGGAGGCTCTTTCCTCTGTGTTACCCACAAGGTTCTCTCTCATCTCATAGCATCAGGCCTTCCAGAAACAAACGTTCGGACGGGACTTGACTTTGGTCTGCGCAGAGAGGACTGACTGGGGGAGCCTGCTCACTCACTGGATGACTGGTGTCGGTCCGGAGTGGAAGCAGCTACAGCGCCCCCAGGCAGCCCAGAAGTTTTGGGGAGGTTTTCCCTCTGAACAGAAAACAGCCTCAAAGACAGGGCCCAGAGCCCAGGAGTTTATTTCAGCACAACACATATATTTCATTCAAAAGCTGTGCACTCTTGGACACAGGCTGTCTGAGGACCTCCTCCCCAGTCTGTTGTTGTTGTTCTTCTTTTTAATGTATTTGGTACAGGGTCTCATTACACAGCTTGGACTCACAGTGATCCTCCTGTTTTCAGCCTCCCCAGCACTGGGATTATAGGCATGCGCCATCACGCCCAGACTCAGTGCTGGCTCAATGTAGCCGGCACAGCATGTGGTGCCAGGGCTCGAACCCCAATCCCTGTGCTTGCCTAAGCAGGTGCTTAGTCCGCTGAGCTATCTCACCTGCCCTCCCAGTTTGTTCTTAATCAAACCTACTGAACTTAAGCTTTTTAGCTATTGATGTCCTTAGCCCTTCTGTACCCTCTTCCTCACCACTCACACTTTTATTTATTTATTTAGCAGGGTGCTACCCTTGGCATGTTTTCTATTGAGAAGGAAAATGTACCTGGATTGTCCAGAGACCAAGATACCCTAGCTGCCCCTACTTCAGATCAGGCCGCAGCTGAACGCTGGAATGAGCACGGCTCATTCATCAATGGAGAAGAAACAAATTATTTAAGAGACATAGTTTAGACACACAGCAGGCCTTGGTGGTCACCTGGGTGCAGGGGATCACAGGGACGCTGGACAAAGGTGACATCAGGATGCCATGCTGGAGCAGGGGTGGGGGAAGGAGGAGAGCTCAGCCTGCTTCATTCTGCTTTCCACAGTCCCAGCACGGGCGCCCGCGGACCTCCCCATCCCCCACCCCAGGAGGGGAGGAGCGGCTACCTTGGGAAGCAGTGCATCCGAGCTTCAGGCAGCCACAGGTTCCGAAGCAGCTGCAGAGCTGAGCGACCAGCTCACGGAACAGCAGGGCAGCATCCCTGGGCCTGCAAATGACTGAGACAGAGCGCGCGCATGGGGACAAGCGCAGGCTCTGGCCCAGACTGGACAAGCTGGGAAAGGACGGTGTTCTCGCGGGCCCTCCTCCCGCAACCTGCGAACAGGGGCCCAGCCAGCAGAATCCCTTGACCCGAGCGGGGCCCACAACCCTTAGTTCCTACTTCCTCCCACAAGCTCTCACTTCACTGTGGGTCCCTCAGACAAGGCAAGGCCAGCAAGCGGGCCCTGGGCAGCCCCAGGAACTGGCTGAGTGACGGAGGCAGCACAGCCCATCCCATGCTTTGGGAGGTGGGAAGACAGTGGGTATCCCGGGAGGACACTGATCGCAATACACAGAAGAGGAACTAAGGGCCTGGATTCAGCGCCGGCTTTGCCAGGTCACTGTACCTTCTTGGGCCTTGATCTCCCCCTGGACAGTGAGTGGGCAAATTCGAGTTCTTCCTTCCCACAGGTTACAGCTACCAGATCGCTTCCTAAGCTGAGCACACTTAAGCTTTCTAAAATAACATGGAATGGGAACTCTCAGCTATTCTTATTTCCCAGCTTCCCTCCTAATAACAGGATAAAATAAAGTGGTTCCTAGTTCCACAATTATTTATATTTTCATAAAAGGCAGGAACAACATAAGGCTTAATAGGAAACCACTGAAAGCAAGTAAGAGGTGAGTGGCCCCACATACGGGCTCTTTCGGTTCGGCATCTTCTGCAGCAGAACCCCGGGACCCACCCGCAGCATCACCAGCAGCGGCCTAATGCCACATTCTGGGGAGCAGGAGGTGCTGCGTGGTCGGTCCTCAGGTTTCTGCTGTCTCAGGGGCGGATTTGTACGAAGGGAGCTTTGGCTGGTGCAGGGTCAACCTGGGAAACCCCAGCGCCCACATCGTCTCTCCTCAGCAAACTGCCCACGAGCTCTGGTCTTAGCTTACTATTCTTCTCTTTGAGATGGGGGTGAGTGCTGGGCTTCCAGGCCACCACACTGGCTGGCCTAGGTCCCCGTCCCTGCCGGGCGCGAGGGGGTCTCCTGGACCGAGGGTCCCCACCCTCCGGCGCACCGTGCGCTGCAGTCTCCCTGCAACCTCAAGGCGCCCCTGGGCAGCAGGCCTTCGGGGTGCACTGCCCCCCCCGTGGGTGAGGGCCGGGGGCGGAGCCTTTTGGGGGACCCCCACGACCTCCCTACTTCCGAAGGGGAAACTGCCCACGGTTGGGGAACAGTTTGGGACGCAGTGGGCGCTCCCGAAACCCACGTACCAGATCTGAGCCCACAGCTCCGCTGCAGCTCCGCGCCGCTCACTTCCGGGGAGACCACGTGACGGAGGCCGCGGCG